TCATTCATTAGTCGATAGCTCTATAACAAGTATATTGGGAGATTTTGAGAATTTGTCAATCACTAAACACACTAAATTTTGGCATTATGAGAGCTTATACATGGTTATAATGTGATTATGGATGAAAGGCAAATAATATTCCTATAACTTCAACACCCTAGGGCCTAGACTCTAGAGTCACTGGATGGTATTAGTTAAATACGAGTTCGGTCAAATCTGAACTTCTGTCCTTTTCTATTTTCTTTATACCAATGGTTTGAGTAAATAAAAGAATAAGAGATATATTCTGCTGTTTGTCTTTTCAATTTCCCTAGTAGCGCCTGATTGTCAGATTCGATTTTAGAGGTTATATTTTCTGTCAAATCAATCATTGTCGTAAATGGAAAATAGGAATAGGGTATAAACACCCACTTCAATTTATATATACCGGGTATCCCAGTTTACCAGTTCCAATGAATTATCTCAGCCATTTCGAAGAATAAAAGTTCGCAAATTTCATGATCTCCAATTCGTTCAAGGAAGCTCCAACTGAGGAAAACAAAAATTGAATGTCACTTCCGGTTTGACCGGAAGTGACTCTAACTTTTCTATTTCAATTAACACCCTGTTTATTTTTTACAATTTTTGATTTCTACTCAACATTACCGTTTCAACGATGTATCACACTTCGTATTTTAAATTTTATTTGGTGGTGAAAACGACAATTGAAATTTCAAATTGAACGAATCGCAGTTGGCTACGATAATTTTGTAATCTTGATTTTGACTTCAATGATAATTTCAAATTATTAGAATTGTAGTAGATCATGTAATTTACAAATTTATATCTTTCGAAATGGCTGAGATAATCTATTGGAACAGGTATACTGGGACACCCGGTATATAGTAATACACTTGGCGCAGAACTATATAGTTATAATAATAAAAAAAATCATGTTACATTTCAATATGACAAAATGGACACATATAGATATACTTATAGCTAATTCCTTACTGTATGTAAAACTGTACCCGAGTGATAATAAAGTTTAAAATATTTTCCACGTTTTGCTGCATTCACTTTTAACTGATAATTTTTGAATTTGGTCCGAATTGATAACGCCATTCAATTACATTATATATATTTACTTGATTTCCTCAGTTTTATTATACATAGTTCTGCAATCAATTCCTTCAACATGTTCTGCATTTCTCGTGATGGTGATATTGGAATTTTTCTCAATAGCCTGTTTTGTAAATCAATGGAACAACGGATCTTATAAATCTTCTGTTTTAAAATGGGCCTAAAATATAGTATTATTTAAGGAAGTGAGTTTTAATGAATGTATTCACCTCACAAATTTTATCTGTCTTCAAATTAATTTTCCATCCAGGCCGTTTCATACATTTCTTCCATTAGAGAAAGGTTGATATTTCCTTTGGAAAATTAAAGAAATTAAATTGACATTCTCTTCAGAATCCCAGCAATTTATGTTTTTTCCCAATAGTTTATGAAATTTTCTTTCAAATCTAACGTTCATAAAATTAATTGTCAAATTCAAACAATTTTGAATGAAAGAGCGTGGAACGACTATTATGCTGTTGTCACAATGCAAGGTGTGTAACTTGATAAATCTAAACATTCAAAAACATCAACAGTTGTCATTTCTGTGTCCGAATTCTTATCTAACTAATAACATCCAGTGACTCTACTATATCTCGAAAACTAAGCTCCGAAGCATTATGTGATTATTTTTCAATGTTTCCTACCATCGCCCCACGAATTTTTCCGATTGAAATATGCAACACCCTGTAGTTAATCTAAAAATAAGAGCTTTAAAATTCAAATGATGCTTTTTGAAATTGGGATTATTGAAAATAATTATTCACACTTCTTGAACTAATATTGGAAAAAGTGTAGTAAAATTTTGCATCGACGTTTCAATAATTATGTCATTTATGGACAATTATTTCTCGACCGTTATACAGTTTTTTTTTATATTGTTACTTTCACTGTTGAGAAAAACGGAAAAAATATTTGTACCTATTTGGTGCCTCACATACCTTTTACAGTTTACACCTGTCGAACCTACTCTTTTTGTTGAGAACGTTAGAATATGTGGATGTTTTGTAAATGTCCCATTCCGCTTGGGAACTGTCGAGAGATAGACATCTCACTTCGACATTTGGAATTTTAATTCGAACGTATTCGTCCCTACAATCTCATCTGCTTATCGTTAAATGCAAGGTAATGGGAAATGTAGGGTTCATTTAAATTCTTTCATCTAAAACCGTTAGAGAAAGGCGATGAAAAAGGGCTTGCCTACTTTTGTGGTCTAATTTCAGTTGAGAAATGACAGAATATTCATAATATCAATAATAATAATAATAATAATAATAATATTTATTTACCATAAATCACAATAATTACATTAAAATACTTATACATTTTGATAAATTTTGATAAATAAATATAGAAATCCCACAGAAGGATGAACCTGTGCGTGGGATAAAAATATTAATAGAAATGTTAAAAATAAATAAATTGTAATGAAGTATTCACAGACATTTATATATATATATATATAATATATGACAGCCATGAATTCACAAATTTTATATAAATGTATAAAAATATATACGTGTACGCGAAAAATATAATGGACAGATTTTGAAGTCACAGTCATTCGGGGAGTATATATGAAGAATGGTATTATGTTTATTCACTTATTTTTATTTGTGTTGAAGCACAAACAGTCTTTTTTAGTTTTTTTCGGTTTCTGCATAGTAATATATATTTTTCATATCCACATATTGGTGTATCTGCAGTCTTGGTAGGCTCAATATCCAATATTTAACTTTTTTTTTGAATAGGTTGATGCTGTTTGATTTTATGTCCGCTGGAATAAGATTGTACTAGAAGTTAAAACCCATTTCATTTACCATTTGCCAGAATTTAAAATAACTTCTGTTGCTCCAAACCATATAGGACCAAAAATGTTCAATCATCTATCTGATGTTTTAAAAAATATTGTATTCTTATTCTAAGATGTTATTTTTTACTCGAAAAATGCTTCTACAGTGTAGGAGACTTTTGACTTCTACATTGACTATTCCTATATAATACTTGTATGATTCAAATCATCATTATTATTATTCCATTCTTCTAAATATGTAGCTATTCACGTTAGCAAATGGGACATCAGACAAATTCTGAAAATCATCAACATTGTCATCAACGATAAAGTGGAGAAAGTGAAATTCTATTGCACTTCCGGAGTAGATTCAATATTAAAACAGAGTCGAAAACCCTATAGAGATATCTTAAATTCAGCAAATATATGAATGATCTCGTGAATGATAGATATGAGCTCAAAAAATAGTTTGATGTACCACAAGGGTGTATTCTTGGCCCACTAACCATTCGAATATTTATGAATTGTGTCAACCTCGACTTTGCGGATGACACACTTCGTTTTGACGTTTCAATTTCAATATGTCGCAGGCTATAACAAAAAATAAATGAGATTTTTGAAAATATTAATCATTTACTGCAAGCTAATCAAAAATGTAGGTTTCATTCAAGTGTATAATATGTATTATGTTTATGACGAGTTCTACCACTACCAGTTAGTTAGTTACTTAGAAACGATTTTCCATTCCTCTTCGTGACAGCAAAAGTTACACTTTCGACTACTACTAAATCATTTTTTTTTTTGAAAATTCTAGACAGGATCTGAAAATCAGCAATATGGTCAACGAAAAAGTGAAAGAAGTTGGAGATTTTGACAAAAAATCCTAACTAATAATTCTACTATACATTTGAAAAAGATTCATTATTGAGTTATTTCGTATTTATGGTGTGGGGAACAACGAATGATACACATACCGGATGACATAGACTTTTTTCATCTCTTGGAGCGCACGAAAGGAAATTTCTACAATGTAGGGAGGGGAGTTTTTGTTGAACTTTTGGAAGTTATGGGTTGTTGGGAATATTTCCATTGGCGATTCCAAAGCTTTTGCCGTTCTATAGACGAACGAGTTCTGGTAAAGTGTTATTTTTCTAGCTATATTTCTGACAATGCATAGAATAGAGGACACTTTCTCATATTTTGGGATTTCTTTTTTCATCATCTGGTTCTCCTGGAGATGGCATCAACTTTCGATTATCACTTTATATTTCATTCTATAATCGCTTAGGGATTATTATAACGATATCGGGTTTGATAGGGTTATGTCAAACTATGTCAAACGATTACGAAGATAATCGCGTTCGTTCGATCGTTCCACCATATGCTCAATGAACTTGACAGAGAAAGAAGAAGTATCGACTTTGCGCCGTCACGCTCATTGTGCATGTGGAAATTTCGATCCTAAATATGTTCGTTATGGTATGAAATAACCCCAGCAAATTCGGTATCGTTGATTTCGTTATGATAAATCTCTAACTGATTATGATTCATTTGAGAATATTCAAGGAAAATCGAAAGAAGAAAAAACATTTCTTAAATGTGAGAAAATGTCCTTTAGTGAGCATATTCGATGTTCCAAATTTCAGAAATATAGCTGGAAAGGAAAAAAGGAAGGTGGCCTATATCACCCGGAATGCTAAAAAAATATTTGAATCTACAATTCGGGTGTATCCTTGGCACATTAATCGTTCTTAGGTTTCAATTTGAATATGTTGCTGGCTATCACGAAAAATCATAAAGATTTTCGAAAAATTTACATAGTTGTTCCATATTTTTCGAATAATGAAAATTCCAATTCAATATTTGTAGGACCAGTATCTACTCATCGTTGAATGAAAGTTAATGGGATTCATTCAAATCGCTTCATCTTCAACCGTTAGGGGAAGGCGATATTTTACTTGGTGTACCACTTGGCCCACTACCGTTTTGAATATACATAAATGCTGTCAATCTTTTTCGATGTTTATTTTTCAGATGAACATAATTTCAATTTAATTTCCGTAAGAGCTGTACTTGTAATTCTACATTTTTTCTTGTTTCGTTCTAGGTATCTACAAGCACCGATACCATCGTACTTAACGCCCTAGACCTGAAGCTAGATGCTGCTAGGATCGGGGGCGACAAAGAGATAATGGCTTCTGCTGTGAAATTATGTCCGGAAGAAGAGACTGCCAGCGTTGTATTGCCAGCCCCATTGGCACCTGGCTCTTACACCCTAAGCATGGCCTTTACGGGTGAAATCAACGACAAGATGAAAGGGCTCTACAGGTAGGTCAACAAAAAATAAATAAACTGAAAAAGAGTTGATTTTCTCATCACATAGAGAATGCGAATTCTCAATGTATTGCTTTATATTGTATATCCATTTTTTTATGTTCATAATTTATCTTAGAATATTCCTTTTTAACACTCATACCCAATCAAGAGGTTCAAACTTGAACGATGGAAACTTGTCATTTTTATAGACCTCTAATCACAGATTCGTGATAGAGTCTCAACTCAGAATTTCTCTCCACGCCCTGTATGATGAACATCAATTTATCATACACCCAAAAACAAGAATTTTATGTTTCCACGGAATGGTGCGAAAAATGTACTTCTTTCACGGTTATAGGATATTATTGAAGCATATCAATAATTAAGTTTCAAATAGAAAGTATATGCCATATATAATAATAATAATAATAATAAATCGACTTTATTCATCGAACGAAGAGGTGGAGTGTCAGCAGAAGCTGTTTTTCAACTCAACCTTTACAACAACAATTACAAATTACAAATAGTGGATGATAAGATACCTTCACATAGGTGTAATATAGTATTGAAATCATAATATCAAGAACATAATATCAAAAACATAATATTGAAAACAAAATTTCAAAAACATAATATCAAAAACATAAATGGAGATTCTTGAAGATATGTTTCTTTTTTTTCTTCAATTCATTCCAATAACTATGAAATTTTCAAGGAGATGCAGTTTCAACTCATTCATTACAACAACAGTCATCAATTACTTGTAATGGGTATTGAGCTACATTAGCATTTATATAATAAATTATCAAAACATAAATGGGGATTCTCAAAGAATATTTATAATGAGATTGATTGAATGATCGATAAAAGTCGTTTTTTATGATGAAATGTTCGAAGACGAATGAAAATACGATCTGTATTCGAATTTAATGTTCATGAAAACTTATCTTGGACATCTCCATATTCCATTTATATGTCCTAACTGAATTGTCCGAACAATTATGAAGTTCTTGTGAGTAGAGCATCTCAAATGATGCTATACCTGCCATAGTTTACATTGCTTCTGGAGTATCCTGAAAAAAAAATTTGGATTAGTATTATGCTTCTCTGATTGCGCAATATATTATTCATTATAATTCACATCTATGAAAGAAAACATGGGTCTATCCTTCAAAGAGAACAACTTCATTGAAACAACGACTGTTGATTTCCTAAAGTGCACAAATGGTTTTGAAAAGAACTGGTATAAAACCAACCAAACCAACCAACCTAACTCTTATAAGCGACACCCTTTTTTGTAGAGAGGCATTACGAACACCAAAGTTGATACACTTCCCTCGTAAGGGTACCTGACGTGACTCCATACCCTCACAATGTCGACTAATTTTTCGACTGGTTGACTGAATGATCGATAAAATTCGTTTTTCATGAAGAAATGTTCGGAGAAGGAATGAGATACGACCTCTATTTGAATTTAATGTTGAGGAAAACTTTTCTTGGAAATCTCCATATTCTGTTGATTAGCCTGACAGATTGAGCTCCTAAGTGATGTGTCACAAACGAATATGGAGTTCTTGTGAGTACAGGATCTCAAATAATGAGATATCTGCCATAGTTTACATCATATATCCTGAAAAAAACTCAGATTAGTATTATGCTTTTCTAATTGAGCAATATATTATTCATTTTAATTTACATTTTTCAAAGAAAACATGGGTCTACTTCATAGAGCACAGCTTCATTGAAATAACGACTGTTACTTTCCTAAAGTGCAGCAATAATTTGGAAAACCCTGGTATAGAACCACTGTTCATACCAAACTCTTGAATGCGAAACCCTCCTTTGTAGAGAGGCATTACAAACGCCAAAGTTGATACACTTCGCTCGTAAGGGGACGTAATTCCATACACTCACAATGTCGACTGATTTCTGGACTGTTTGATTGAATGATCGATAAAAGTCGTCATTTATGAAGAAATTTTCGAAGAAGACATCTCCATATTCCATTAATCTGTCCTAACTGAATTGTCCTGAACAATTATGAAGTTCTTGTGAGTACAGGATCTCAAATGATGAGATATCTGCCACAGTTTACATCGCTTCTGGAATATCCTGAAAAAAACTCAGATTAGTATTATGCTTTTGTAATTGAGCAATAAATTATTTTTTGTAGAAAACAAGGGTCTACTTCATAGAGCACAGCTTCATTGAAATAACGACGGTTGCTTTCCTGAAATGCAGCAATAATTTGGAAAAAAATGATATAGAACCACTGTTTATACCTAACTCTTAAAGGCGACACCCTCCTTTGTAGAGAGGCATTACGAACGCCAAAGTTGATACACTCCCCTCGTAAGGGTACCTGACGTGACTCCATACTCTCACAATGTCGACTGATTTTTCGACTGGTTGATTGAATAAAAGTCGTTTTTTATGAAGAAATGTTCGAAGAAGAATTAGAATACGACCTCTATTTTAATTTAATGTTCATGAAAACTTATCTTGGAAATCTCCATATTTGTTGATCAGTCTGACAGATTGAGCTTCCAAGTGATGTGTCACAAACGGATATAGAGCTCTTGTGAGTACTGGTTCTGAAATGCTGGGATATCTGTCATAGTTTTCATTGCTTCTGGAATATCCCGAAAAGAACTCAGATTAGTTTTATGCTTTTCGAATTGAGCAATATATTATTCATTTTAATTTACATTTCTCAAAGAAAACATGGGTCTACTTCATAGAGCACAGCTTCATTGAAATAATTCCATACACTCACAATGTCGACTGTTTGATTGAATGATCGATAAAAGTCGTTATTTATGAAGACATTTTCTGAGAAGACATCTCCATATTCCATTAATCTGTCCTCACTGAATTGTCCTGAACAATTATGAAGTTCTTGTGAGTACAGGATCTCAAATGATGATATCTGCCATAGTTTACATCACTTCTGGAATATCCTGAAAAAAACTCAGATTAGTATTATGCATTTCTAATTGAGCAAAATATTATTCATTTCAATTAACATTTTTTTGGAGAAAACAAGGGTCTACTTCATAGAGCACAGCTTCATTGAAATAACGACGGTTGCTTTCCTAAAATGCAGCAATAATTTGGAAAAAACTGATATAGAACCACTGTTTATACCTAACTCTTAAAGGCGACACCCTCCTTTGTAGAGAGGCATTACGAACGCCAAAGTTGATACACTCCCCTCGTAAGGGTACCTGACGTGACTCCATACTCTCACAATGTCGACTAATTTTTCGACTGGTTGATTGAATAAAAGTCGTTTTTTATGAAGAAATGTTCGAAGAAGAATTAAAATACGACCTCTATTTTAATTTAATGTTCATGAAAACTTATCTTGGAAATCTCCATATTTGTTGATCAGTCTGACAGATTGAGCTTCCAAGTGATGTGTCACAAACGGATATAGAGCTCTTGTGAGTACTGGTTCTGAAATGCTGGGATATCTGTCATAGTTTTCATTGCTTCTGGAATATCCTGAAAAGAACTCAGATTAGTTTTATGCTTTTCGAATTGAGCAATATATTATTCATTTTAATTTACATTTCTCAAAGAAAACATGGGTCTACTTCATAGAGCACGGCTTCATTGAAATAATTCCATACACTCACAATGTCGACTGTTTGATTGAATGATCGATAAAAGTCGTTATTTATGAAGAAATTTTCTGAGAAGACATCTCCATATTCCATTAATCTGTCTTAACTGAATTGTCCTGAACAATTATGAAGTTCTTGTGAGTACAGGATCTCAAATGATGAGATATCTGCCATAGTTTACATCACTTCTGGAATATCCTGAAAAAAACTCGGATTAGTATTATGCTTTTCTAATTGAGCAATATATTATTCATTTTAATTAACATTTTTTGGATAAAACAAGGGTCTACTTCATAGAGCACAGCTTCATTGAAATAACGACGGCTGCTTTCCTAAAATGCAGCAATAATTTGGAAAAAAACTGATATAGAACCACTGTTTATACCTAACTCTTAAAGGCGACACCCTCCTTTGTAGAGAGGCATTACGAACGCCAAAGTTGATACACTCCCCTCGTAAGGGTACCTGACGTGACTCCATACTCTCACAATGTCGACTGATTTTTCGACTGGTTGATTGAATAAAAGTCGTTTTTTATGAAGAAATGTTCGAAGAAGAATTAAAATACGACCTCTATTTTAATTTAATGTTCATGAAAACTTATCTTGGAAATCTCCATATTTGTTGATCAGTCTGACAGATTGAGCTTCCAAGTGATGTGTCACAAACGGATATAGAGCTCTTGTGAGTACTGGTTCTGAAATGCTGGGATATCTGTCATAGTTTTCATTGCTTCTGGAATATCCTGAAAAGAACTCAGATTAGTTTTATGCTTTTCGAATTGAGCAATATATTATTCATTTTAATTTACATTTCTCAAAGAAAACATGGGTCTACTACATAGAGCACAGCTTCATTGAAATAATTCCATACACTCACAATGTCGACTGTTTGATTGAATGATCGATAAAAGTCGTTATTTATGAAGAAATTTTCTGAGAAGACATCTCCATATTTCATTAATCTGTCTTAACTGAATTGTCCTGAACAATTATGAAGTTCTTGTGAGTACAGGATCTGAAATGATGAGATAGCTGCCATAGTTTACATCACTTTTGGAATATCCTGAAAAAAACTCAGATTAGTATTATGCTTTTCTAATTGAGCAATATATTATTCATTTTAATTAACATTTTTTGGAGAAAACAAGGTTCTACTTCATAGAGCACAGCTTCATTGAAATAACGACGGTTGCTTCCCTAAAATGCAGCAATAATTTGGAAAAAACTGATATAGAACCACTGTTCATACCTAACTCTTGGAGGCGACACCCTCCTTTGTAGAGAGGCATTACGAACGCCAAAGTTGATACACTCCCCTCGTAAGGGTACCTGACGTGACTCCATACTCTCACAATGTCGACTAATTTTTCGACTGGTTGAT